AGCCAACGAAATGCAACTCTCTACCCGTTCACATTTCCGCCCACCATGTGTTCAACTTTTAGTTTTTATTTTTATAAATTGTAGGCTATTAAATAACTAATCAATGGACACATGTGTTGCACAAATAACATATTGAAATGAATTTCTAACAAATGCTTGAGAGTAATGTGCACGTACTTGTATAAAAAATGAGTATATACTCCGTACATGATATAAACGACTGCTAAAGATAATTAGATACGGAGTATATTAGTACGAATTATATAATTACAACCACTCATTCCTACGTCCTTAATCTTTTAATTTTGTGATTCATGAGGATGATAAAAATTACTAGTCTTAAATTTGTATATATTATTTTGTGATAATTATGATGATTTCTTATACTACCTAGGTTTTTCTATATTGGTTTTTCTTGGTCAATGATAATGAATTTGGACAATGATTTTAATTATCATATTTTTATATAATTTATTAATTTTATACTTTTATGAAAATATTTTACAAAAAATTCAACTAATATTAATCTTGAAAAAGTGGTGGACAAAAATGTGACTTCGTAACTTTTAGTAACTATAATAATTGTACTGCAAGTTACTACGATGTAGTGACTATGATGTAATTTTTGAACACAAGTATAGTTACTAAAAGTTACTAAGTCACATTTTTGTCCATCACTTTTTATTAGTAATATTTTAAGAAAAACCTCAATATTTTAATTAGGATCATTTTAATATAATTTTCATATTCAAAGTCATTTTGTGTTAAAAATGTATGTGGTTAAAGTTTATTATCATTGACTAAGAAAAGTTAATTTGGCAGATCTTTTTGAAATGCAGGGAATCGATATACTCTGTCTTATGAGCCCGTTTCGTAGCACGAAAATCAACTGATTTGGCCGATTCTGATGAATTTTTTGAATCTATGGCTGAATTGGCTGATTCTGGTGATTTAAGAAAAAACAAATTTAAAATATATTTTATTAATAAAATAAAGAAAAACTTATATGAAAAAAAACTAAAATGGTCATCTACAAGAACTTCAGTCAATATAGCCAGAAAAGTAACTCAACCTTACTTTTTCTGCTTATTACACAATTCCGGGAAAGTGTTACATGTTTGGTGAAAAAGTTGGCCGATAAGCCTGATAAGCTGAAAAACAGTGTTACCAAACGGCCTCTATATGTATCTATATAAGATATGACGAAGTTGATTGAGTATCATATCAAGCATATGTCTTACTTCTTGCTATTTCAATTGTTGATGGGGTTCATATACAATATCTTTTAAACAATACAACTATACAAGCTAGTCTTTTAGGTATAGTAAGTCCATAACGATCCTACAAGACTTTCTATATTGATTTATACAAAACTTAGGGCTCGTTTAATAACAGAGATATTTACAAGTTTTTTTGTCTGTTTTCCGTTCTCCAATTTTCTGTTTTTCGTTCTTCAATATTCTGTTTTTATTTTTCAATTTTTCTATTTCCAATTTTCTATTTTCAGTTTCTAGTTTTCCGTTTTAAAATCTAAAAACATGTTCATCAATTTTTTTCACCCAGTTCGATAATCGACCGGAAGACCGAAAGTACGGTCTCGATCCGAAACCGAACCTAGTACAGCCTAAGTAGAGTACCCGGTCCCGGGTATAGGAAAGTCGGGACCGAAACCGGCCGGTCCCGGTTGGTCCCAATGGCTAGCTTGATTATTTTTTTTTCTCTTTTTGCTATGGTTGGCAACTCAATGACTCTTTAAAAAAAACTAGGACTAAACTGCCGGATCGTCGGCCGAACCGGACAGGGACCACCAAGTCGTTGACATACCGGCCCGAGACCGCCGAATCTTTGCCCGGACCGGGACCGTTGGCCATCTTTCGATCCGACCGGACATGTATCACCCGGTCATTGATCGGACCGGAACCACCGGCTCGTCGATCGAACGTGACAAGGACCGTCATAAAGTTGACTGACCATAAAGTTCCCACACGATTTACGATGTTTGACTGACCATAAAGTTAACTGATCCTTGTCATTAATAGAATTATTTTTAGCAAATAAAATTTACATATTCAGAAACTACATTAAAACCGCTACAAAACCTGCAAAAAATTATTTAAGTTTCATAAACTTTCGATATATAAAGTAAGAGATTAAGATCAATGCACGTTGACCGGAGAATAGTGTACGAGAACCTTTAAATGGGACGGAGGGAGTATTAGTTTGTGAACACTCTGCCTAGGGCCGCCCCTGATCCCATATAAAGGTTCATATTTCCATTTTAGGAAACAATAAACAATCTTAAGTGACAAATTAATCATTAAATATTAAAAATAATACATTTATAACATCACATTTATCAATACTAACTACATTATAATATATACCTATTAAAATTATTTCGCAAAATATACCCGAAGTACTTTATTTAATTATTATCTAAATAACCGTGCCGTTTTGCTATGGGAAACTTTCAACGGGATGTAGGTAGTATATAATATGTATTTATATGTTGAATTCACTTATTTAGTTTAGTTAATAGAGTTATTAACTTGGTAAATCTTTTACGAATTTTTTCTTGTAGTGAATGTTTTTTATGGTTTTCTTTAATTTACTACTCGTAATATTTTTAATTTGTTATGTACTTATATTTGAAATTTTACTTTTGAGATTTGAATGATGGTAAACATGAACATATTTGTATTTTTTATAATTTCAAATGTTAATTTTCTTTGTGGCACAAATTTCGATCGGACCGGACATGTATCACCCGGTCATTGATCGGACCGGAACCACCGGCTCGTCGATCGAACGTGACACGGACCGCCATAAAGTTGACTGACCATAAAGTTCCCACACGATTTACGATGTTTGACTGACCATAAGTTAACTGATCCCTGTCATTAATAGAATTATTTTTATCAAATAAAATTTACATATTCAGAAACTACATTAAAACCGCTACAAAACCTGCAAAAAATTATTTAAGTTTCATAAACTTTCGATATATAAAGTAAGAGATTAAGATCAATGCACGTTGACCGGAAAATAGTTTACGGGAACCTTTAAATGGGACGGAGGGAGTATTAGTTTGTGAACACTCTGCCTAGGGCTGCCCCTGATCCCATATAAAGGTTCATATTTCCATTTTAGGAAACAATAAACAATCTTAAGTGACAAATTAATCATTAAATATTAAAAATAATACATGTATAACATCACATTTATCAATACTAACTACATTATAATATATACCTATCAAAATTATTTCGCAAAATATACCCGAAGTACTTTATTTAATTATTATCTAAATAACCGTGCCGTTTTGCTATGGGAACCTTCCAACGGGATGTAGGTAGTATATAATATGTATTTATATGTTGAATTCACTTATTTAGTTTAGTTAATAGAGTTATTAACTTGGTAAATCTTTTACGAATTTTTTCTTGTAGTGAATGTTTTTTATGGTTTTCTTTAATTTACTAATATTTTTAATTTGTTATGTACTTATATTTGAAATTATACTTTTGAGATTTGAATGATGGTAAACATGAACATATTTGTATTTTATAATTTCAAATGTTAAATTTCTTTATGTGGCACAAATTTATCCGCGATTTGTAAGAAATTTTAAAAATTTTAAAAAATGAAAAGTGACTTGAACCGAACTGTTGAGGCTCGGTTCGATTGCATATTGATTCTACAAATAATTTATAAGAACCGAATCTATTCAACATTAAAAGTTGAAACTTTTTTGAATAGTTTCACATCTTTTGCCTAATAACTTAACCAATATTGGTTGTTTGTTTTTTATCGCTTTACATTTATTTTTCAGTTTAATAAGGAATTTTCTCTATTAATAGAAATTGCTCAATATAGGACTAAAACATACACAAAGTTTAAAAATGTGTATGCCTATGTATCTTCATGTTTGTTTACTTGGTTGGAAAAAGCCAAGCATATACAAGTACTTTGTATTAACATGACCGAAGTACTTTATTGACATTTCATCAATTCGATCAATATCATTAGAGCATCTCCAATGCTAAAACGTTAACGGTGCATACGTGGCATGAGAAATAACCAATTAAAAAACAATAAATACAATATCTCTCTCCTTCTTTCCACGGTCTTATGTGTTTATGGTAAGTTTTTGTCTGCAATGTCAGTCACAATTTCTACATCTAGACATTGTGTTTGACATTGTCAAGAAAAACTCACCAAAATGATGTAAGATCCTTCAAATAAGGAGAGAGATATTGTACTTATTGTTTTTTAATTGGTTATTTTCTATGCCACGTATGCACCGTTAACGTTTTAGCATTGGAGATGCTCTTATATCAATCACAATTTTTTTAAGGTGAGAAATCTAGTACCATTTTAAAAAATGGGGTACCGTATCTACCATTCACTTGATTGGTCCAAATAGGTATATCATTTTCAATTTAAACTTAAATAATTCAACTGCAATATTCTGATTGGTTCATGTGGACAAAGTTATACGGAGTAGTACTTTATGGGGATCACAGAATCTAGCTTTTTTTTAATACTATATTATTAATCATATCACCACTTTAATTTTACCATACTAAGCTAAACTTTAATAAAGGGTCGTCCAAATTAATTAATTAGCTTCTTTTCCATGTATATCATTGTTAGCACTTCCATCTAAACCGTGCGTGTGAATAAGTGTGATTGATTGAATTAAGTAGGTACCAAAACAAGGAATTTGTGTAGATATTGGTGTGATGGTGTCATCCATACTCAAGTGCAGAAAAAGTAATTTATGTAGAGAGGTGACATTTGAATCACTCAATCAAAAGTAGTGAAAATAATAAAGGGGACAACTCCGGTACCCGTTTAAAAAATGAGGTATTGTACCTAGCATTCACTTGACTGATCCACATCATTGTATCATTTTTAATTTAGATTTTAATAAATCAACTGCAACATTGTCATTGGTCCATGTGGACAAAGGTATGGTACCTTATGAGTACCATAGAATCTACAAATAATAAATACAAGGCAAGTCGGATCTCGAAAGAAACATATTTATATAGATTAGTTATTGGCATGACTTATTATAAAAATAGATCAATCATTTTATTCATGAGTCATAAAACAAACATGCAGAAAATAGAATACATAATACGTAGTACTACGTAGAAGCTTAGCATATAGAACCAACTCAACGTAACCAAGCGTGATGTTCCATGCAAGCGGGCTCAAACACACATGTAGGTAGAAGGTATGCCATGTCACACTGCTGTGCTGGCTTATTCGTAATGATTTACTCCGTATATGTATGATGTATACATACATACACGCATGACAATATGACACATATCATATAGATATATACTACGTATATCGTTAGCCCATCAAAACAACCATCAAGGTTTAGGACCAACGGCTTTAATTTTATCATTATTACTTAAGGTGGGGGCAACACGGTGGTGACCAACGCCTGGGCTGTTGCCGGGGGTAGTTGGTTGGAAAGTATCAACATGTGAGGATGCGCCGCCGCCAGAAGTACGGCGATGAGGACTGCCGGGAGGAATTTTGTCATTATTACTTAAGGTGGGGGCAACACGGTGGTGACCAACGCCGGGGCTGTTGCCGGGGGTAGTTGGTTGGAAAGTATCAACATGTGAGGATGCGCCGCCGCCAGAAGTAGGGCGATAAGGACTGCCGGGAGGAATTTCGTCATTATTACTAATTAAGGTGGGGGCAACACGGTGGTGACCAACGCCGGGGCTGTTGCCGGGGGTGGTTGGTTGGAAAGTATCAACATGTGAGGACGCGCCACCACCAGAAGTAGGGCGATGAGGACTGCCGGGAGGAATTTTATCGTCAGCAGCGCCCTCAATGAGGGTGGTGGGAGATGGTCCGAAAGAATCCATTGGTTGAACGGCAGACGAAAGAAGGAATGCCAAAATGAGAAGGCTGAGCATTATTAGCTTACTTATACTAACTCCAGCCATTGAGCTAGCTAGTTTTGGTGTGTTTAAGGAGGTATCTTGCGGAATTATGGTTCTCAATGGTGTGCTATTTATAGAATGTTTTCAAGACACGTACTATATCAACCAACAGGCGAGGCATTTCTTTTGGCCGGCCAGGTAAAATGTTTAACGGGCCGGGTAAGAAAAATAAAATAAAATAAGGTTTAAATATGTTTTTAGTCCCTACAAATATAACACGTACACTTTTTTTTATCCCTGTAATATGCATTATTTTGTTTTTATTTCATCTCTAATTCCAAAATCACTCTACATAGAAAAATATTATTGTCAATTGCATTAACCTATTAGAAATATCCGAATGTGTCCTTTTAAAATTTGTTTGAGGTTGATATGAGAGTTAAAATAATGTAAAATTAAGTATTCACATTATAAAAATATATATTAACAGCCTTCCAAAAAACAAAATTAAATTTTTTGTGAATAATTGGGGTTATTTTAAGGTCAAACGGAGGTTGTTATCATCGGTGATGGACTAAAACGAAATCTAACATAAATTGTAGGGACGAAAAACAAAAACAAATTGCAGGGATGTAAAACGAAACTACAATATTCACTGGGACTAAAACCATATTTAAACCATAAAATAAAGATGAATCTATTAATCTATTATGAAGGTAATATAATGAAGAATTACATTTTTAGGAAATTAGAATTGAAGCAAAAATAAAAAATTGCTCCCTCTTCATTTTTATTTATTTATTTATTTATTTATTTATTTATTTATTTATTTATTTGTTTGTTTGTTTGTTTGTTTGTTTGTTTGTTTGTTTGTTTGTTTGTTTGTTTGTTTGTTTGTTTGTTTGTTTGTTCGTTCGTTCGTTCGTTCGTTCGTTCGTTCGTTCGTTCGTTCGTTCGTTCGTTCGTTCGTTCGTTCGTTCGTTCGTTCGTTCGTTCGTTCGTTCGTTCGTTCGTTCGTTCGTTCGTTCGTTCGTTCGTTCGTTCGTTCGTTCGTTCGTTCGTTCGTTCGTTCGTTCGTTCGTTCGTTCGTTCGTTCGTTCGTTCGTTCGTTCGTTCGTTCGTTCGTTCGTTCGTTCGTTCGTTCGTTCGTTCGTTCGTTCGTTCGTTCGTTCGTTCGTTCGTTCGTTCGTTCGTTCGTTCGTTCGTTCGTTCGTTCGTTCGTTCGTTCGTTCGTTCGTTCGTTCGTTCGTTCGTTCGTTCGTTCGTTCGTTCGTTCGTTCGTTCGTTCGTTCGTTCGTTCGTTCGTTCGTTCGTTCGTTCGTTCGTTCGTTCGTTCGTTCGTTCGTTCGTTCGCTCGCTCGCTCGTTCGCTCGCTCGTTCGTTCGTTCGTTCGTTCGTTCGTTCGTTCGTTCGTTCGTTCGTTCGTTCGTTCGTTCGTTCGTTCGTTCATTCATTCATCCATCCATCCATCCATCCACCCACTCACTCACTCACTCATTATATGTGCGCAAAATACGTAATATGTTTCAAGAATTTATTTGACTGTCTTCACGATAGAATTTTGATCTGAAATTTGGTACGGTATGGATAAACTAGACTTGATGAAAAACGTGTTAAAAAAATTCATCAAAAAATTATACCGAAAATGACCTCTTGTAGCTTTGTCCGTCGTGTGGAACTTCTTATACATCCATATGTATATGAATTGTCCTCTCTACTAAATACTACTCCGTACTTCGTTCGTATGCCGTTGACTAGAATTTTAAAACTTTGCGTCACAAAGCTAGTACTCCCTCCGTAACATTTATATTTTCCCACTTTCCTTTTTTGGATGTAACATTCATATCTTCCCATTTCATAATCTTCCAATCATACCCTCAATAATTTTAAAAATAATACACTATTACACCTACTTTTTTGGATTTATCTTTCATTCCAACACATTATTTTACTATCTTCTCATCATACCCTCAATAATTTATATCCACATTCACTATTCTTAATCTACCTACTTTTCAAATGGGAACATATATATGTTAGGGGGAGTACTACGTAGTATCTTTCGCGTCACAAAGTGGACAAGATCTAATTCATTATTTGCTTTACTATGCCTACAAATAGTTGAGAAACACACTCGGTGTCTCTTTTCAATTTCGATGAATTCCTTCCTAGAGCCCGTTTGGTCATTACGAATTGACTATATCAACTAAATTGTTTAATATAGTTCAAATTATGGAAAAATTTAATGTATATTATGTACTTCTGTCTACTTAGTACTTACTCCCTCCGTCCCGCTAATCAGGGGCGGATATATTCATTGAGGAGTGGGGTACATGCCCCCAATAAACATTCATTAGCAAGCTAATATTATACTTCCTGCAACAAGTGAACGACCGATTCCATCCGCCGTAACTGCCGATTTGCCTAAGACTTGACGAAATTCGATGTTCCGAACGAGTGTTGACTGATTCCTGTGTCGTGTTGCACTGGTGGGTCTGCCGCCTGCTTTTCCAGAAATTCGATCGATGACTTATGTGAGTTTTCGCTCTGATTTCTCTAATTTTTTTCCTAAATAATGAAATACGTACTCCAAACTCTAAAGAATAAAGATAATGGTGAGGGTGTAAACGAGTAAGGGAGTGTTTGAACCTGCTTAAAAAAGCGCTTCTCGACTTTTGGCTTAAAAAAGCAAACATTAGGATCTGTTTACTAACAGAGATATTTTCCAGTTTTCCATAAAACTGGAAAACTAGAAAACAGAAAACAGGAAACGTGTTTCCCAAAGAAATTGCTGGAAAACTGGAAAAATGAGACATGTCTCTCTTTTGCTTTATGATTTGGAGAAATGACTTTTACTAGTTTTCCAAATTTGGAAAACGCAGATGCTACAGTGCCGCTGCAATGATTTTGCATACTTACACCTAGTGGTGGGTCCGATCCAGCTCCGATGTCGATTCCATTCTGGTACTTCCATCCTCGTACCTTACCCTTTACCCTACCCTTCCCTGTAACACCCTGGCCCCGCAGGACCCGAGGTAGTTACTCCAGACCTCTAGTACTGTCCTCACAAACCACTACAAGCCTTTACCACACACTTTGTCCTCACTCATGCGCGCCCTGAGAAACTTCCCAGGGGGTCACCCATCTTAAGACTACTCCCGTGCAAGCACCATGAACCAATCTCAAATCTCAATCAAATCCCAGAATCTTCCCCCGCCAAGTGCCCGCCCGACATCCAACGGGTCAGCACACTGTCGTGGGGTTGCTCTGATACCACCTGTAACACCCTGGCCCCACAGGACCCGAGATAGTTACTCCAGACCTCTAGTACTGTCCTCACAAACCACCACAAGCCTTTACCGCACACTTTGTCCTCACTCATGCGCGCCCTGAGAAACTTCCCAGGGGGTCACCCATCCCAAGACTACTCCCGTGCAAGCACGCTTAACTTTGGAGTTCTTGGGTGATGAGCTCCCTTAAAAGGAGATGCACTTCTGTTGGTATGAGTAGTACTATTAATCCATTTATATTAAATCTCAAGTGTTACATTCCCACCCTACCCCCACCCCGCGTACCCATTTTTCCCTATAATGACCCTACCCCACCCCTACCACATGCCCCTACCTCGGCCCCACCCGATCCACCCTACCCTACCGCCACCCCCCTACCACCTCGACCCCACCCAGACCCACCCTATCCTACCCCCACCCCTCGTATATAACCCCTTACCCCTACCTTACCCCTTACCACATGCCCCCTACCTCGGACCCACCCCACCGCCATCCTACCCCTACCCTTCCGCCATCCTACCCCCTACCCTTCCCCTACCTCGGCCCCACCCGAATCCCAGGCCCACCCTACCGTCATCCTATCCCAACTCCCTACCCTACCCCTACCTTACCCCAACCCCTACCTTACCCACTACCCCCACCCTTACCGCTATCCTACCCCCACCCTACCCCTTCCCTACCTCGGACCCACTCTGGTCCCAGCCCCACCCTACCGCCATCCTATCCCAACTCCCTACCCTATCCCTACCTTACCCCAACTGTGACACCGCACCCGAACGTCCTTGAAAATTCGATTTAAAAATTCAAAAGTGATGTATTGAATTTCCGATTTCAAAGCAATGGAAGAAACGATTAATATTTTACGAAGTACATGATTGAATATTGTATTGTTCAAACCCGCATTCTTTTGTAATTTTCATCGTGTAAATTATTGGGATGAGCCTACACATATTGGAGATCAATAATGTGATTTAGGAAGTTGACTTGCTCTAAATAAGTTAGAATGAGTACAAAAAAAAGACATCTTTTGACAAAGATAAAACAATAGGACCCATCTTCCCATTTTTGGAAGTATTGGTAGATATTTTGGACCCCAAATTAAATGGGATCATTTGGGAACCATCCCACATGACCTTGGTACCTGCAAAGACAAAGAAAAATGGATGAGACAACTATGTGGGGCGGACTTTTGACTCATGAGCTACAACATTACAAAAAGGAAATAAAAGAGGAGGTCCATACCATGTTTGATTGCAATCAAATACCCCACCCTTCTTTTGTGAACCACATGCTCTCTTAGCATGATTGAGGCCCTCCTAGTACATTTTCCCTACACCCCATTCGAACTCCCAAGATAAGAGAGAAAGAGGGAGCCACATATTCCAAGGGAGAAGAGAAGAGAGAAGCTGGCCGCAGGATTCGTTTTCCAGCAGATAGGGTCTCTTGTTTGATCCATAACTTGAGCTTCACTCGTCCAAATAAGGCGTATGATATACCAAAAGAAAGCTCTCAAGACGAGGAATCTGTGAAGGCCTGGTTTGCAGGAATCGGAGTTGTGGAAGGCTTCCAAATCGTCCGAGAAAAACGCAACCTCGCAGGAGAGGATTTAATCTTCTAAAGTGAGTTTTAACCCCAAAGCTTTACTTTTCATTCTCCAAATGATATGAACGATTGGTGAGACTATTATACACTAATCCAAGTGTATAATATGTCCTTATAAAGTTATTTTATTGATGTAAAGGTTAGATACTAACCTAGATGCAAATATTGGAAAACTAGGAATCGAGTTAGCCGGAAAACACCCGTTCTAGGGGCTGTTTTCGTATCAACGATTAAGGGTTGAACTAGCACTTTGAGGAGGCTGTTTAACACTCATATTTGAGCAAGGA